GCAACGAAATGCTGACAAGTTGAGTTCCGAGCAACAACAGCAAGTGGCGGATTTGTCGGCCGTTCTCCTTTGGCCTCGTACACAAGACGATCGTGCGGCGTTGCGGCCCGCGATTGTCCGGATGGTGGAGAAATTTGAAGGGATCATTGATCGTAGGAAAGCCGAATTTTTGAAACTGGGTGCTGCCAGTGCTCAAGGCCTTTTTGCACGTCACAGTCTGAAGACAGATTCCGAACTACGATTTTGTTACGACTTTTTGAGTCGTGTGCTTCAGTTCCTAAGCTTGAAGATGCAGAGCAGCAACGGCTGCGTAGCAAACTCGAAGAGGTCTTGGTCAAAAGCTGCGCTGTGCCTCTGAAAGCGCCTCATGAAGCAAACTGCATGTCGCACCTCTAAGACCAGATTAGACTATTTCCTAACTAATAGTTAGAACAGCTTTTCTAGATTATTTTCTAACTATTAGTCTATTTTAAATAGACTTGAATTTAGACTGAGAAATAGTCTATTTTGAAACATAACCTTGAGGTTATTCTATAGAATAACATCAGGATACAAACATATACCTAAACTTGTGGTGTTATATTGTGAAAAACAAACGTGCATGTTACTTATCATAGGCCATGTACTGTTACTGAGGCCATGTGCATGTTCTGAGTTGTGTTGGTGAATTGCATTTGCATCGGACAACCTCTTGTATTTTCTTGTCTTAGACAAGTCCCTCTTTGCTGCTACTGTTGCATCGCCTTTACCACTTTCACCAGCATCATCTGATTCTGGCTCATCACCTTTGTGGTCTTCCTTCAGCTTCCACTTCTGCACTTTGTCTGAAAAGCTGTCCTTTTCATGCTTTTTTGGAACTGCTTTGGGCTTACTCTTGGCTTTTGCCTTCTGTTCCTTCTCCTTCTTCTTCTCTATGGTTGGCTTCGCCTTTGGCTGTGGTGCTTTTGCCTTGCTTTTTGCATGAGGCTTGACTGATACTGCTGGCCTTTTCATGGTGTCGTAGGTGCCAAAGCCTGCCGTGCACTTTTGGCAGGGGTAGCTGCTTCTTCTGTAGCTGCTTCCCTCTTGTTTGGTGAAGCCGTGGCTGGTCACCAAGTGCTACTTAGACCCCCACTGAATGCTACCTAGATTCACTTTTATGTTTGAGTTGTTCTATGTCACGTTTTGTCTTTCGTTGCGTCGGTTTGTTTTGTGTCCTTTACTTTGTGCTGCTTATTTTTACATATTTTTACTGTCATATGCACAAGAACACTTTGTTGCAACAAAGCAACTCTGGAGCCACAAAAGACAACACAACAAACATAATACAAGTTGCCAAATGCTTCAAGATAGATAACCACAGTGGACTCATACTACTGTGCATGTAGTTGCCTAGTTTTTCATTTAGCCATTTCAACTAACCTACACGAACTTAACAAACAAAATCACAAAAGACGTAAGCAAAACATGAAACATATTATAACACTGACATAAAAGTACTGAACACTGACACAAAAGTGTCACAAAAGACACACAAAAGTGACACAAAAGCGACGTAAAAGTGACACAAAACTGACACAAAACTGACACAAAAGCGACACAAAAGCGACACAAAAGTGCCACAAAAGTAAGACAAAAGTGACACAAAAGTGACAAAAGAGACACAAAAGTGACACAAAAGCGGCACGAAAGCGACACAAAAGCGACACAAAAGCGACACAAAACCGACACAAAAGCGACACAAAACCGACACAAAACCGACACAAAAGTGACAACTTTTACATTGCAACTGACACTTAAAGTGTCACTTTTATGTAAAACTACACTGAAAAAGTTGCAGTTTCAAAATAAAAGTTGCACTATTAGTGTCACTTTTGTGTCACTTTGGTGTCATAGTTGAATTTGACTTTTTAAACTGCAATATTTCCATATATTTATTGAGATATTGTTTGGGCTTGTATACGTAATATTGACCTATTTGGTGAAGTAAAATGCAAGGAGTACTGTCATCAGCTGTGGAGCGAGTACTGTCGAAGGAGTACTGTCATCAGCTCCGTCCAACTGCAGGTGTTCCAAAATGGTGTCAACCTTCTCTTTGGAATCGAAGGTGGCCTTCCTCATTGCTGTTGCGTAAGCTTCATGGTTCTTCTTGATGCCTCTGGCTTGTGCAAGCAAAACACGAATCCTTTGATCTACCTGGTCCACAAAGTCAGCTGTATGGAAGTGTGTTTTGTTGACCATTTTTGAACAGTCTTGGATCATCCTCTGTAGCGCTAGCTTAACTTTGGCTGACCTATAGTAGCCCATTTGGCGCAATCTTCAAGAAATACACCAACATTTCATGACATTGAGCCATCCATTGAGGACAAGAACTTGTCTTCCAACTCCACTGAGCATTGGTAGGATGCTTCAAACAAGAAAACAGATCTTTGTCAGCTCCTCTGTTCATTTCCTTTGGCAGCACTCTTTGCAGGTCCATCACACCACTGGAAGGGTACACCTTCATTCCCTTAGAGACGGCCATGTGTGCCACAGGTGCTCAAAGCAAAGAAAGGAGATGTGTGCGATGCTAGTTAGGACAAACATAGACAAAACTTGTTTCTTCATGAAACTACAACATCTACCCTTTTGTCAGTCTTGCTGATCCTCTGGAAGCTTGTGAGCCTTCCACAACACTTGACACCAAAAATACTTTGTGATGTGAGTTTGAAAGAAAATTTGCATGTTACTTAGGCCATGTACGGTTACCTAGGCCATGTTACTTAGGCTCTGCTCAATGTTACTTGGGCCACACACATTGCTCAAGTTTGTGTTTTTCAAAAGTGTGACCACAAACACCTAAAATGAACTAACAAAATGTCTTTACAAGATCTCAGGTTTTTCCAACATAATCTTGACATTCCAAGGTTGTTTAGCAAAATAGACTCGAGTCTATTCAACAAAATAGACTTTAAATTATCCCCTAGTTTATACTATTAGTTTATTTGAATTCTAACTATTAGGTAGAATTATTGAAATAGACTAATAGTTAGAAAATAGTCTAATCTGGTCTTAGAGGCAGAAACAGTCTTAGGTGATTCGCTTCCACGCCCACGACTGCCAAAGAGTTTGAGGCAATTGTTTGGCAATAGCATGGATGCAGAAGCCCGCATCATGCCTTTCTTCCACCGTGTGCACGAGGTGGATGAGTTCATGGTTTCGTTGGAGTTCCAAGACTGTGATTACTGTCATGAAGGGTGGTTTGGCAGCAGCAGGAAAAGGGAAGACTTGCCAGGTGGCTTTGAAAGCGAAGCTTACAAGAAAACGATTTTTTTGCGTGCACCTGAGAGCCAATGCCCAGGTTGGATTCTAACCGGCCTATTTGTCAAAACTGTTTGCTGGAAGCGAAGACGGAGGGCTACCCAAAGGAGCCTGTCCGGTAGACTGCCACGAACTTTGCAGACCCTGGTTTTACCTTACCAGAAACAGATGCTTTGAGTTTTTTCGAAGAAGAGATTCTGTCACCTATCCAGCACATAGTCCGTGTCTTCACCTTGCACACAACAGGGCAATGTGAGCTTCGTGGACACGTGGGTAACCTGTTTCAAAACGGTCCACAGTATGTGCGCAACATTCCTGCGGCCATTGGCGACATGAAAATGTTGTTGATACGGCGCTGCCCGAAAGACCCAAATCGGAAGCAGCGAGTGCCCTTCTTGGTGTCGAGGCAGCGCTTAGAACGTGCGCTAGAGCGCATTTGCCGCAGTTTGGAGGAGGGCGGCTCCTTAGCGCTTCAGCCCGGAGCATTGACGCCCGGTGGGTATGTCGAGTTGTTGAAGAAAGAGAACTTGGAGCAATATTCAGACACTGAGGAAGGTGAGGAACCCCATGGTTTGCAAGTTGAAGTGGTGGAACAAACGCCGTGGGAGCGAGTGGAGCGCAAGCTGTTCGCTATGTGGATGTCTTGTTCCTTGGAGTTGCAGATGGCCGCGCGAGTGCGCTTGTTGCACGAGCCGCAGGATGTGCAGGGCCCGGCAGAGCGGATGGATGTTTTGTGGCAGAATCTCCGCGCTGCCATGGATGCCAAAGCCCCGGATGTAGTTGGTGGCCCGGCAGACTTGATGTTAAAGACGCTTGCCCAATATTTGTCCTTGCAGTTCTCCGACAAAAGTGTACTCGAAGTGGAGAACATTTTACACGACGAACTGACTGCAGTGCAGGAGTTGGCAAGCTGGGAAGAGCCTTTGGTGTCTGATGGCCTTTCGTCGCCTGAAGATGTAGCCAGGCAGCAGACGGAAGCGGAGTTGAAAGATGAGTTGTGGGAAGCAGTCTGCGCGGCGAACGAGAGTGGCAGCAACAAATCCACCATCCGCCGCTTCGGAGCGGCTCGTGTGCAAGGAGTGCCAATTCTGGATCCTCCAACCGTAGCATCCAGAAACCAGCTTGTTCGCGAAGACCAGCCGTATTACATTGTTGCTGGTTTTGTGAAATTGTTTCCTCTTGGACACGGAGATTTCTGGGCACATCTGCATCAGCGGCAAGAAGAGAACCAGCAACCTTTGTCTTTCTGGGAATGGCTAAAGCATTTGCTTTTGCGCTCTGATGGCAGGTTTCAAGCCCATCCCCGGTTTTATTTCTTTGCGTTGAACACTGCTCTGAGGAGCAAGGCGTTGCGCGCCCAAGGGTACTTCATGAAGCGGCAGCAAGGAGCCAGCAAATGTGTAGCGTACACCACTGAAGAACTTTTCAACATGGGTAAAGCTCAGTTCACCAAGATCGTCTCCGCTTTCGAACATTCCATGGCTGGCTCTGCGCAGGAGAAGTTGAGACAACGCAGTGACTTAGAGGCCATGGTGGAACAGATTGAGCAAGAGACCTTGCAAGACCAGGCTCACGCTTTGTTACAGTCTTGGCAGACCGCTGACCTAGCTTGCAAACTGCTTGAGCAGCAAGGGTGCGCTGCTGCCACGGCGGAGCTGCAAGCTGCTTGCCTCGCTGCAAAAGCTGCTGTTGAGAAAGTGTTGTCGCCTGAAACCATAGAGGCCCAAGCCAAGCCTTCCGTCTCGCGCGTCGATGTGGACCGCGGGATGGATGAAGCAGCTCAAGCCGATGTCGCGCGCGTCGATGTGGACCGCGCGGCAGAACCCTTGCAGCAAGAATTTGAAGTCAGTTTTCCTGAGCAAGATAGTGCTTTTGTAGGTTCAAGGCCTGGTTCCGGGCGCAAAACCCTTGAAAGTTTGTTGTCTGAAGTGCAACAGCGCAGTTTGTGCGTGCAAAGCGGTGGGGAGATCCCGTGTCATTTCAGCACATTGACCACCGCCATCTACCGTTGGGACGACCTTGCCCAATGTTTGGAGCACTATGAAGCAGCAGTACGAAAGCGGCGGGGCGACAGAGCGGATCCTTTGGAACCAGCAGAACGGCAGTTAGCGCCGGAACGCCGGCGAGTCCTCCGCTACCCGGGCGTTGTCGCCTGGTTCACGGCTTACAAAATGGAACTGTTCTACAAACACGTGCTGAGGTACGAGGATGGGCAAGGTGTGTTCGAGTGGGGCGCAGGCGGAATCATGCACTTGCATTCGATCAACTTTGGATCATGCATGCCCCGTGTCGATCCAACCGCAGCAGGGATGCAGCAGCCAGATGAAAAGACAGCCGAGATATCCGCTCAGTTTGCTGAAATGCACGAGGAGTGTTTGACCGATTGGAGCTTTGCAAAAGCCGAAAAGTGGAGTTTCCACGAGATTGACAATTGCGTTGCTAGGGCAGCTCGTCCTGGTTCGCCTGCGCATACGGATTCAGAGTCGGATGGATCGGAGGACATGGAGGAAAGTGCACTGCTAGAAAAATGCGTTCTCCGTAACACGGTAGATGCCGGCTTGCAAGTGGGCCTGTCTGCAGATGTCTTTGGACAGCATGCAGTTGCAGAGGATGTAGATTTTCAACGTGTCTTCCCAACTGCAACTAGCCATGGTGTATGTGATTTCGCAAGGTGCGCGTGCCACCAAGGTACTCACGCAAGACGAGCGGCAGCTGCTACAAGACTTGGATTTGGACTTGCAAGATACAGCTTGGCACGCTTGCTGCATCTCAGTGCAGCAAAAAGCTTTGCTAATGACGAACAACTGCCGGCTGGTCCGGCGTGCGCGCCGCAAATGGTACGGAAGACTCACAGAGAAGTGCAACATGCACGATCGGCACGCTGGCTTAGGTTTTGAGGTGCCGCCTGTGTACATCGAAGCGACTAAAGATGCCGATACGGAAGAACAAGAGCCAGAGGTTCTGACTGCGCAGCTGCAGCAATGTTCTCTGCGTTGCGGGACCCTGAACATGCACTTGCTTTCGCCCGGTCCTTGGTTTGAACCTCTTCTTGAGCAGTGTGATGTTATGTTCTTGCAGGAAGTTACAACTCAGTGCTTGGAAGACTTTTGCTTGTTAGGGCAACAAAAAGGTTACGGAGTGGTGTCTCCTCTGCTGCGTGGCCAAGCCCCTGCGGAAGGCTTCGATGTGTGTCTGCTGCTCAAGCGCGACGTCGTGCAGAGTCGCCGAGTCACTATTTCGCCGTTGCCGTTACCGTCCAGCAGACGGTTTGCGCAAGTGCATGTTACCCTGCCTGCAAACGGGTGCGTGCTTATGTTGGCGACGGCTCATTTCACCGCAGGCTCGAATGGGGACAAGGAAAGGGAATGTGAACTGGAAGCTGTTTTGGCGACTTTGGAGGCATTAAGTCATGTAGATTGCTGTGTTTTTGCGGGCGACTTGAACATGCGTTCAGTCGAAGGGTTGCCGGCAGATGTGTCCTCAAGGTGGCGAGATGCGTGGCAGGAAGATGGCAGTCCGGAAGATCGATGCGGCACCTGGCACCCGGAGGCCGCGCCTGCGCAGGACGCACGAGTCCGCACATGGCGCTTTGATCGGATTCTGACCTTATGCCAGTTTGGTAGCATGGATAAGCCGAGTCCTACGCCGTTGCGGGCTGGGACAGAGGCTGCTGAACGGGTTTCTTTCGCCACTGTAGAGCTGCAGCGTGGATCTTTTGATGTTCAATTTCAAGCAGCTGACTTGGATCACGCGTTTGTTTCTGCAACTTTCAATGTCATGCCTTTGGCTGCTGGGGCGCGCGAGGTGTCGAGCGAGTGTTTGAAAGTGTTGCGACCTGGCCTGGGTCCCAAAAAAGCGCGCAGACCTTTGGAGCGCGAGAGTTGCGCACAGAGACAGCACGCCCAAAGTTTTTGCGGCAAGGACTACGAGAAGCCTCGCGTGTTGCCCGGCATGGGCGCCATACTTGAAGATTCCCGCCGCAAGTCTCTGTTCCGTTTGTACACCCATTGGAATTGCCACCATCTGAACACACACGACCCCTTGAAGGCCATGGGCTTGGTGGCAAACGTGGATGATCAAGTTGTGTTGACGGCGCAAGCCGCCGTCAACTACTTGACCAAGTACTTGGGGGAAATCGGCGGGGGACACAGCGCACATAGCCGAATTAGTGGTTTGATCGATGACATTGTGTGTCGCATGGGAGATCGCGAGACAATGACCGTTGCATCTCTTTTGTCGAAGCTCTTCATTCACTCGGCTGTTCCGGAGGAAATTTGTTCCCTTGAGGCGTGGCATGTTTTGCTGGACCTGCCCCGTGTGCTGTCGTCAGGTATGTGACCTCGTTGAACGTCAAGGAGGATTCGAATGCTTTGAAAGATTTGGCCAGCGTGGAACTGGCAAGGGTAGATGAGAATGTTGTGAAAAAGAGCAAGGTGGCCCTCTACTTGGATAGGTTTAATATGAGAGCTCAGGCCGATATATCTGCAGCGTCCCTGGAAAACATGTCCCTGTTCCAGTTCATCAGTCGCGCGGATCGCCGTGGAAAGTCGTTGCATTTGCGGAAAAAAAGCATAATTGTTAAGGAGAGGCCATTCCTGCGCTTGGACGCTCGTCGCAAGGAGGCGGGCGCCATGGCTCGTTTGTGTTTGCGCTTGCATCGACCTTTTCGAACGGAGGGGATGACCCTATCCATCTTGAGGAAGCGTCGGCCGTGACAGAGTTGCATGCGTTTGTGCAGAGTCCGACGTGCCCAGTGTGGCTGAAGAAAAGGTACGCTAAGCACAACCGGGTGAAGGCGCTGAGGCGCGCCGATGCAGCTGCGGACAACAGTGAGAGTCACGGTGCAGAGGTGTGTCCCGCCGTGCCTGCCGCCAGCGCAGCGTCGGTCCCTGCCGTAGCCGCCGCTACGATGCCTGCTTCGCCAGCAATCGAAAACCAAGATGGGGTGCGCGGTGCGGAGGTGCGTCCCGCCGTGCCAGCGCTTGTCTCCAGTCAAGCAAAAGCAGCTACCCGCGCAGTCCACGTGATCAACTTGAGCGCCGGGCACAACCCGGAAGAGTCTGGAGCGGAGGATACTGCCGAGGGCAATCCGGATCCAAATGAGAAGTTTTTAGCAGACACACTGTCCAACCGACAGATGATTGCCAATCGTCATGGGTTGTTGTGGATTAGTAGGCCTGGGGATCACCGTCACAGCATCGTGGATGCCGTTCGCTTGCAGCGACCGCCTTTGAAGATGGTGTGTGTCAAAGGGTATCTGGAAGCACTGACGGAGACAAAGCCAAAAGGTTCTAAGAAGGTGCAGTTTTTTGTGGAGCGTTTTGTTTTCTTGATGTTGTACATTGACTTGCAACCCTACGAAAAAAAAGGTGCCGGTGTTTTCAAGCAGTGCTTAAGCAAAAAAGCATTGCAAAGCTTAGCAAATGCATTTTTCCAGTCACAGGGTTCCGCCGTCACTGGCAAACAGAAAAAAATGTGGTGCTCAAACCTTACGCCGAACTTTGGGAATACATCAAAGCGGAAACCTTGAAACAGTGTGGTTTGGCAGTTTCCTCTTCGCCAGCGCATCGTGTGGGTTTCGATGGACCGGTGAGCATCCCGCACGCCGAGCTCAAGACGGGCGCATGGCGACAGAGTGTGTTTTGCTTGGAGCCCCATTCTTTGGAGCATGAAGAATGGGAAGATGCTGCCGACCGGGAAGCAAAGAGGTTGCGGTATGCGCAAGCTGCAATGCATGAACAGAGCATGGGTCGGCCGGGGACGAGATTACACGAGGTGTCGTTACCAGTCGACGCAGATGCTTTGATGTGCGCCGACTTCGATACTCGGGCCGAGTGGGACGCTTTGAACCCTTACTTGGACAACGTCCGTGCCCAGTGGCTGTGTCCAGAACTCGCCGTGAAAATTTGCCCTGAGACCAAGGGATATGTCTTGAAGCCGACGCAGGGGGGTCTTGCGCACACCGAAGCAGAGCAGATTACTGTTCACCAGGACAGATCCTCGTCAAGCTATACAGGCCCTGCGTCGGATCGGACTCAAAATTCGTTCGCGCAGCACATGCGTGCTTGGATGCTCGCGTACACAGCGGCACATGGGGTGTGTGAAGCCAACTTGCCCCTTCCCCAGAACCTGCAAGGGCCCCTGCTTTTGAATGAACCAGTACTCTTGCTAGGAACGGCAGGCACGGGCAAAACCACAACTTTGCAAGCTGCAAACCAGCTACTTGAAGCTCACGGCTTGAAAGCGCGTATTGTTCGTTGCGCCTACACTGGTGTCGCTGCGAGCAACATGGGCAGCGGAGGTCGAACGCTTGTGTCGTTGTTTCGCTTGAACAAGCGTAAATTTGGAGGAGGTTTGGAACCGTTGTCGTTTGAAGATCTTCGCGCCATGGACGAGGAACTGAGAGGCATGTGCCTGCTTGAAATCGATGAATTGTCCATGACCGAAAAACTGATTCTTACGTGCATCAGCGCTTGCAGCAGTGGAGAATGGAGCTGTATCATGATCGGCAGTGTCGCAGTCGCGCGGAGGTGTGTCCCGCCACTGCTTGTGTCTGCGGTGCCAGATTACCGTTTGGTGGCGTGAAGGTAGTGCTTGCAGGCGATTTTGGTCAGTTGCCCCCCGTCGCAGCGCCGCCCGAACGGACGCTGTTGTGTTCCAAGGCAAAATCAGTAGGCCAAGATCGGCACGATGTGAACCTTGGCTTGCGGTTGTTTCAGCAGATTCGGGTCGTGTTTCGACTTCGACGGATTCACCGGCAGGTGCATGGGCCAGTCACTTTACAAGGAATCCCTGTTGCGATTGCGGGACGCAGCGCACACGAAAGAAGATGTTCAGCTTTGGAAGTCGCACGATTTGACTGATGTGGCAGCTTGCACTTTGACCGTGGAGGAACGGAAGTTTTTCGAGGGCAAATGCGTGCACTTGTTTGCGAAAACCGTCGTGCCGGACAATTCAACGGCCGACGTCTAGGCGAAGACGTCGCAGGCAAAGAAAACTCTACCATTCTTCGTGTTTGGTCCAATGACAGTACTCCTGGAGTGGAGCGTTACCCCAGTGAAAATTATGGAGGTTTGAAGCGGGTGCTGCATTTGGCGGAAGGGGCTCCGGTTATGTTGACCACGAACTTGCGGACTGTGTGGAACTTGGTGAATGGTGCCCGTGGTCACGTCGTGTCCGTTGCGCCGGCGGAGCAGCACCCCGCCGTGAGCGGTGATCGGGTCGAACCGGGGGCGTCCGCGGCTGAAGTTGGCGGCGTGTCTGCAACTGCCGCAGAATACGTCATCGTCGATTTCCCAGATTACGTCGGTCCGCTCATGGTGGCAGGACACCCGACGTGGGTGTGCATCCCAAAGCAAACCAACAGACGCGAAAAGTTTCGTGGCCTGGCTCGCACACAGTTTCCTCTCGTTTTGCGCTATGGCATGACGGTTCACAAAAGCCAAGGTTTGGCCCTGTCCTCAGGCTGTGTTTTCAACATGGAACACGAACCGACTTGGTCGCCTTTCAAGCAGATGTGCGGCCTCGCCTTTGTCGGGTTTTCGCGTGTCACCGACTTTGCATGATGGCATTCAAACACGTGCCGGATTATTGGTCTTTCCAAAGCATGGTCGACGCCGACTTGTTTCGATGGCGGGCCGAATTGGAGCAGCGTTTGGATGAGTTACACGATCGAACCGCTGAGATTATGTTTGAAGGTCGGGCTTCCGTGCAAGAAGACGTGCAACGTCATCGTGCTTGGTCTGAAAGCTTGAAGAGTGCGCAGATGAGTCCTGAGGAAGTGGCTGATTTGACCCACATGCTGTCTTTGCGAGGGGTGTTGCCTCAGCCAGGTTACACGGACAAGCCTGTTCGCCGCATGGCCGCATGGCTAGCAAAGCAGGTGGTGGCCGGACCAAGCGTAAGACCATGCGCGGTGCCACCGCGAAGACGTCCAGCTTGCCGGATGTGGGAGATGGGACCAGGGAGCCGCAGTGTGATGCAGGCGGTTTGTCGGCTGACGAAGATGCGTATTATGCCGAGCTGCACGAAGAAGAGGAGTTGGAAAAGGCAGGTTTTGAGGCATACTTGGAAGACAAGGCTTTGGAGGACGCGCGTCGCAGAGCGCAAGAAATCGCCGCTGATTTCTACGACGACGAAGGCTACTTCGATGATTATTAGGTCAGACGCTGCCTTGAGGACGCCTGCGCAGCTGCTCAGAAATAGTCCTGGAGTGTGCCGTTGTGGGCGGCTCCGCCAATACTTTCGTTCGCCTGCACAGCTTGTTGGGGGTGGTCCTGGAGTATGCCGTTGCGGGCTGCTCTGCCAGCACCTCGTTTGCCGTAGGCTTGGCTCCTTCGTGCTGCCTGCGGGGGTGCGCCGCAGATTCTCGTGAACAGTGACGGAGTACGTTGTTTCGGACTGCTCTACCAGCCTTCGCAAACATACGACGTGGCTTCGACATGGGCAGCGCAGTGAAAAAAAGCAAAGCTGTGGGCTGGGGTGCTGCGCTGTAGGCATGTGTTGCGCTGTAGGCATGAGATGTAGGCATGAGATGAGAGGAGAGCTTGCCTACGGACCATGGATGTCATGTGTTTCCGCAGCGTTGAAGCACTCATGCTTTTCTGTCCGTGGCGTGTGGTGGTGTGACCCGCGTCGCGGTGGAAATTGCAAATTCGAAGTCTTGTGTAACTACATTCACTCCGACGCGCGGTGGTGTGGCCCGCGTTCCTTGCTCTTGCCGGGAGGCATCGATCTGCGTGCGTCGCTGTGGGCCGCGCAGACAGCCGGGACATGCGCTTGCCTTGCCCCGATGAGGAACAGTTTCGTTGTTTTTGCGCGGAGGAGCACACCAAATGTTGGAAGAAAACACCACCCACTTCGCGTGCCCGCACCAGCTGCACTTAACTTTCGCTTGCAGATGCCCAGTTGCTTCAGCGCGCCGGTGTGGGCTGGTGATCTTGCTTTGGCATAGACACAACCCAGTACGCTGTTGTGAGCAGCTGATCCTGCAGGGAGCACAGACCTTGCACAGGTGGCGCTGTGTGTGTGTGTGTCAAAAGTCCGGAGCGCATGCGTTTGGCTGAGTGAGGGACACGAGGGACACGCATGGTGGAGAGAACGTGGGCACCCCTATAGGTCAATGTGTTCTTATAGGAAACTTCCGCCGCCGGCTTGCCCGGGCACTGCTTGTAGTAGCAGTAGGAATAGCAGTAGCAGTAGCAGCAGCAGCAACAGCACCAGGAGTAGTAGTAGTAGTAGTAGTAAGAATTCACAGAGGTCTAGAGGCGGAGAGGGTTGTCTACAGATCTAGGGGTGGAGGTGTAGGTAGCACATGAGAGCGCACTTGCTGCAGCCCCCGCGAAATCTGCACTTCACAAGGTCTACAAAGTCTACAAAGTACTGTGCCTGCCACAAAATCTACACTTCGAGGTCCACAAAGCGCTTCGCCTGCCAACTCAAGAGCACTTCCAAAGACAGCATCAAGATGCCCAAACGCAGCTTTCGGTGAAGGACCAAAAACATTGAGCAAATTGTTTCAGGAGATCACACCAACTCGCCATCGATCCACGTTCGCCCCTCAATAGCCCTTCCACATCGTGGGTTGCTATGTACGACGCGCAAACAAAATAGCCACAAAACATGGAAACCACCTCACAACCACGACACTGGTTTAAGACACAGTGCAGGGGAAAGTAAATTCATCAAAACGAAGGAAAGCGCAGCAGCGCATCTACTTGAGCAAACGATCAAGCGATTGTTTCCGGCGAATACATTTCTTGAGACATTGATAAAGGTTATGACCTGTAATATCAGGCGGAATTATTTCAGGAGATCAAAGTATCACTTGCGGCGCCAGTCGCTTGTTGTAGTAGTAGTAGCAGCAGTAGTAGCAGTACGTAGTAGGTAGTCGGTAGTGGGTAGTGGGTAGTAGGCAGTAGCAGTAGGCGGTAGGCAGTAGGCAGCAGGGAGTAGGTAGTGGGAAGTAGGAAATAGGAAGTAGGTAGTAGGTAGTAGTCAAAGGTGTGTGGTGGTGGTAGTAGTAGTAGTAGTAGTAGTGGTGGTAGTGGTTGTAGTGGTTGTAGTGGTGGTAGTGGTTCAGGTACTAGTAGTAGTAGTAGTCGTCGTCGTAGTAGTAGTTGTTGTAGTAGTAGTATAGGTGTGTAGAAGTAGTAGTGTAGTAGTATAGTAGTAGTAGTAGTAGTAGTAGTAGTAGTAGTAGTAGTGGTAGTGGTAGTAGTAGTAGTAGTGGTAGTAGTAGTGGTAGTAGTAGTGGTAGTAGTAGTAGTAGTGGTAGTGGTCGTAGTAGTAGTGGTAGTAGTAGTAGTGGTAGTAGTAGTAGTAGTGGTAGTAGTAGTAGTAGTAGTGTGTAGTAGTAGTAGCAGTAGTAGTAG